TACCTTTAAATGCCTTTGGATTTTGTTTGGGTTTTTGGGTTCTGTTGGGGTTTTTTTGTTGGGTTTTTTGGGGGGTGGAGGGGGAAGGGTATGGGGGTTTTTGTTGTTGCTGGTTTTGTTTTTAATTTGGACAGAATAGGGCTGGTGTTAAGATCCTCCAAGATTACTGCCTTCTAGCCTGCTACGAGAACCAGCTAGCTCTCTCGATATTTAACAAAAAACAGAACAACACGACCAGCAGAGGGCTTCATTCACATAACATCTACTTACCACAACTGTAAATGACTACTGCACAAAAGATACACCAAATCAGAATCTCTCACATATTCAAGTTCATTCTTCAAAAAATAATAAACTCCCCAATGAAGGCAATGTTATACTGAAAAAAAGACACACATTAATGCATAGCAGTGGATTACTAAGACACTGTCCAATTCTGAGTACTTTAGAAATACCTTCCAGAACCATATCAGCTATGGTGATATGGCATGGTAATTTTTTGCACTGAGGAAGACAAAAGCAGATGGAATGTCTTCTACAGGCTACAGCTTCGCTTACACAGACAGGTGACCGAAGTAAAACAGATATTCCTAAAAGCAGCTAGAAAAATTTAAGGAAGGCTAGGACACTTTCAACCTTGATACTGTCTGAAAGAAGGTAGATCCCCTCAAGCAGGGAGGGGACAGGGCTGCAACAAAACCCTACCTATCATGGTTTGTAGTTTCCCTCCCACTTCTTTGTTAGTACTATCTTCTCACCTCTCTGCATCTCTAATGCATCTCATAAGCATTACCTTATCTAAGAAGATTAGCAACTGTAACAGCATTACCAAATTCCCTTTATCACCTCTCTAAAGCAAAGCAAGATTAATGAACACCTATTGGGTAAACAACAGGCTGATCACCTGGCTATGTGCAGCCAATAAGGTATGAAGACAAGACCACTCACTTGAAATTTAACGTGACAGATCAAGATCAGTAGTATGCAATTCATGCACTTGTACTGCAGCATCACCAATCTATGCTTCCACAGCCAGTTTCAAGAATAACCACTTTCTTTTCTACTAGGAAAGCCTCTCTTGAAACATCCACATGAAACTTCAGGTGGTTTAACACCTATTCTACCAAGGCAGCAAGACAAACCCTGGTAAAAAAAAATACCCCTTCTGTACACATATGTGGAGGAACACATATGTTTCTCCAACAAGTACTTTTCTTTGAGAACAGAATCAGTAGAAGAGGTAAACATCTGAGGCTTGTAAACAAAACTAAGGAAAAAAAAAAAAAACCCCTCTGTTCTGTAATTGGCACCAGCATCAACATTACTGTAACACTGCCTCACAACATTTTAAAAGGGAAAAAAATAAAACAGCATCATACAATGGTTACGATTGGACCTAGTTTCAACCCCCTGCCACAAACAGGGACACCTCACACTAGACTGTGTCACCAAAGGCTCTGTCCAACCTGGCTCTGAACACTGCCAGGGATGGAGCATTTACCCCTTCTTTAGGCAGCCTGTTCCAGTGCCTCATCACTCTCACAATGAAGAGCTTCTTCCTCATATCTAACCTGATCTTCCCCTGTTTAAGTTTGAATCCATTACCCCTTCTCCTACCACTACAGTCCCTAATGAAGAGTCCCACCCCAGCATCTTTGTAAGTCCCCTTCAGATACTGGAAGGCTGCTACAAGGTCTCCACGCAGCCTTCTCTTCTCTAGGCAGAACAGCTCCAACTTTCTCAGCCTGCCTTCACACAAGAGGTCCTTTGGTTCCCTTATTAACCTTGTGTCCATCCTCTGGACTTGCTCCAACAGCTCCATGTCCTTCTTATGTTGAGGACACCAGAAATGTATACAATACTCCAAGTGGGGCCTCATGAGAGCATCACTGAGGGTCACCACCTCCTTCAACCTGCTGGTCATGCTCCTTTTGATGCGGCCCAGGACATGGTTGGCTTTGTGGGCTGTCGCCAGTTTGCAAATAGCACAAACTTTAACTTCAAGAAGAAACTGCTGCATTCAAAGCAGTGAACCACACTGCTGGTGAACGTATTTTTTGATCAGTCTTAACACAAAGTAGCTGCCAACCTTGATGTACTGGGTCAAGAAACAGGAACATAACAACAGGTCTTTACATAAGTGTGGATTTTATGAAATTGTACTTGGATGTTTGTTGCAGAATGACTCTAAGAGCAGAACCATAGAGTTCTGGAGGACTGTGCAAGCAAGGCAGGGGGTGGCCCCCACAGGTGGCCGGAGACCGGACCTGGGAGGAGAATGTGGAGGAAGCTGTGGGGGCTAACCAATACTGTTATGCCAAGAAGGAGTGGCTGAATACCACTCCTATATATGTGTGAACTGCGTCACAAATAAACTAGAAGTTGCTTATCACCCATATTGGGTTGGCCTGTCTGCTTCTCCTCGCCGCTTACAGATGTTTACATCAGCTGCCCTACAAGGTCTTTGACATCCATGCTGTACAAATTAAGTTAGTACTAAAAAAACAGAGCTGAAGAGTGAGTTTTTTCAACTTCTTAAAAGTCACTGAAATCTCTTCTTTAATGCATAGTATTATTCAACAGTAAAGACCATCACCATTAGTCAGCAGGAACTGAGTGTCACTTTGGGAAAAGAGACAATAAACCCCCTGAAACACTGTGGAAAAAAGCACAATAACTTTGTGAACATTCTTCATATGAAAGCATGGCTCCATCACGATTTAAAAGTTACCATCATTCTGTGGCCAGAAATCAGGAACACAGACGTAGTCCACCTTATGCTCCAGAGACTGCGAAAAATATAGGTATCCCACGCTATCAGTATGCACAACATACCCTTAATAAAAGCTTCTGTGTTCTCAACTTCATCTTGCAAGCTGTCCCAAGTCTTAAGTAAAAAAATATTGCTTCCCTTCGTCATATAAGCCTAAATACTTGTTAGCACATTAACTGCCTTCGGAATTAACATCCTGAGACAAAACAACTGAGTTACTATACAGAAATTCAACCTACCTTCTGAAGTTTATACCATGACAGTTTTTTTAAATCAATACTTAAGTATAATATACAATGTAATCGAATTAAGCATGACATCCCCTATCTTTTGGGGGGCACAGCAGACAGGACATAACTGTTTTAACAAAAAAATCAAAATAGAAAAAATCTTCACATACACACTAATCGCACTGCAGATTCTCAAATTCATTACACTTGAGATATTAAGAATTTGAGTTAATGCTTACAGTGAAACTGTTCTGCTAACAATCTTGTGATTAGGTCATCTACAGCTCCTCTATGCCACAATGTACAGAGAAAATTGCTCTTCATGCTTTTTTTCTTCTTTATGAAGAAATTGCGCTTTTACAAGCTATAGCTCCAGATTAAGTTAGATTCCACACTGAAATGTCTTAAAGGTGTCATAAAGAGCTTTCTTGATTGCTGCAATATAAACACATCAAAAACCTACCTGCCAAGCTTAAAATTTCAAAGAGCAACCTGATCATCCCACTATTGGCCAGGCATCAGAAACTGGGAAGCGGGGGGGGGGGGGGGGGAGGAAAGTGTGTTTTCACATGTATTACACGGTTTATTTATAGCATATCTAACTTCATGCACAAGACAGTAATTGCCAACTTCCATTCCATACTAACTTAGAAACAGACTACAGAACACCATTTAACTCCATCAGGAAGGGACCTGAAAGGCAAGATTAATTTGATATTTAATCTCACATGTTGCTAAGAAGTATCTTTATAGCACACAAATTATTTCTATCAGAATACATGAAGGGTCTGAAAACATACACTTGGAAGAATCAGCATACAAAAACCACACAGATCAGTGCAAACATACTGATCTGTGTAAAAATGGTGTGAAACTGGACAGTCCCAAAGAAGCACACATTTTCTCATGGAACGCCACCTATAAGGAGTGAAAGGAAGGATGAAAAAAGTTCTGTAAACACTGTAGGATGTGGCCCACATGTTTGTTCATTTCCCTAAACCCGGCAGAAAAACCCACTAGGGCACAAGCTTCTTCGAGCACAGCCATATACCAAGAGGCAATTTTGAGACGGCAAGAAAGCAGCTTTTGTTTAGTCATGATAGCTTAATAATGATCTAAAAAATACATCAAATTACTTCCAGGTTCAGGTAAAGCTTGACTTTTAATAAAGACAGCCTATGATGCAAATCAGCTTTCACTGTAGAGTCTCCAGTAACGTACTGGCTAGCACAAAACAGAAAAACCTTGACACGCGCAGCTTCAAAATTTCTGAGGCCCTGCTCATGACGCCCTCACACGCAGGGCTACTCAGCATGGCAGAAAAGACTCCTTAAGGATATTAAGGGGGACAAGGAGCCTCAGCTGTTATCTGTGCAGCCTTCAGCATCACGCCAGAAGGCGCTCTGGTTCGGCACTGCCTGTGCAGGGCGAGGCAAGCGTTTTCAGCTGGTTGGAGGACAAACCTCTTGTCACTAGTAAAAGCAAGTGAATCCTCCTTATTGCCTGGGGGTTTTAGCATCTCATCCAAACCTTTTCATTCCCCCTCCCTGACTAATACTTCTTAATTCCCTATCCGAAGGCGATATGGACCATAAGCGGAAAACCGCTGTGTCTGGAACACATCCTCTCTCCCGGTTATGCAAAAAAAACATTTACCCCGCGAGCCTACAGCTGCAGCTACCTCTCACCACCGGCACCATATCACAAAAACATAACGGGGGGGAGGGGGGTGGGGAGGGAGAACCTCACTGCGTCATGAAAAAAAAAGAAAAAAAAAAACACGATGCAGGCGCAGGCGATCCGATGCATTCGCACTGTTTGCGCCTCCTCGAGGCTCACGGCGCTTTTCGCGTTACCCTCCCACCACTGCCGGCGCGCACGGAGGACCCGCACGGCCCCGCCGGGGACACAACGAGGGATCCTAGGCCGCGACCGCCCTGCATGGAGGCTGCCGAGAGGAGGGTGGGGAGTACCCGGGGGTTCGCAGCGGGGCTCACCTTATCCAGCTCATCGTGCAGCTCGGCGAGACTGGGCCGGATGAGCTTCTCCCCCAGGTCGGCGGCCGTGTGGCGGTAGTAGTCGATTCGGGGCACGGCGTCCATGGTGTTGTGGCCGAAGGTGCGCAAGTAGTAGGTGTTGGTGTGGGTATCATAGTAGTAGTGGTGGTGACCTCCGGAGTGCAGGCTGCCCTCGCTCATCACAGTGTCGCCGCCGTTCTGAAAACTGACATTGCCGCCCTCCGAACTGCCCCCCGGCTCGCCAGGGCTCTCGTCACCAGCCGACGGGTCCACGAAGTTCACCCGAAACCTGCCCTTGGCTTCCTCACTGCCTTTCCCCGCCGCGCCGCCTTCCCCGCTCGCCTTGCGGAGCTCCTCGGCCGGGCGGCCAGCGCCCTCGGCCACCAGGTCCACCTGGAAGCGGCTCTGGCTTGGCGTGGGACCCAATGGTCTGCCCAGAGTCTCGCCGCCAGCCCCATCCTTGCCGTCCTCCGAGCGCCGCTCATCGCTTGCAGCCCTCATCGCGGCAGGGCCAGTCGGCGGCGGCGGCGGCTGCGGCTGCTGCTGCTGCTGCTGCTGCTGCTGCTGCTGCTGCTGCTGCTGCTGCTGTTTGCCCTCCATACCTCTCCCTCTCTCCTTTTTCCCCCTTCCCTCTTCTCTTTTCTCTCTTCTCGCCAATCGAGCAGTACGCGCGGCTGCAGCTCCAACGATCTGACCACCCCTCGCGGCCGCGGCTCCGCTGCTTTAAACCACCAACCAGCGCCCGGGGCTGCAGCGCGCCGCACACAACGCCTGGCGCCGCGCACGCCCCGCCCCCTGCTGCAGCGCCAGGTGATGATGCCGCCGGTGCTGCTGCTAACGCACCCCCCTCCTGTCCCAGCCGCGCGCTGCTTCAGCAGGACCCGTGCCCGCCGCCGCCCTCCTGCTCCGCGCCGGTCCTCGCCGCCTTCGTGCTCCCGCTCGCCTACCCCCAAGCGCGCCCGCTACGCGAAAAAGCCGCCCACTGCCGTGAGAGCGCCGCACGCTGATGAGCGGCTTGCACCGGGGCTTCAGCGGGAGGTAGCTGCGCGGGGCACGCGGCGGTGTGGGGCGGTGGATCCGCGGAAGGAAATGGTCCCCGCTGCCCTCCTCCTCCTGGCCTCCGCGGCTAGTCCCGCCACCTGATCCCCTCTTGGTGGCGACAGGAACTTGGACGCGAAAGGGCCACTGCTGCCTCCCCCCTCCCGCTCGCTTCCCTGCTCGGGCAAAAGCGGGATGCGGAGGGCTGCCGGCGCTGCCTGTTCTCTAAGCTCCGCCCGCTCCAGGCAGCGGCCGCGGGAGCGGCTTCCCGACCCGCCGGCAACGCTGGCGGGGAGGGCGGCGGCGGCGGCTCCTCCCGGCCTAAAGAATGGCCGTAGCAGCATCCGCCCTGCGGCGGCCTGGGGAGGGACGGAGCCCAGGGGTCTGGGGGGCGGGGAGGGGGGAACGACAAGCAGCGCCTGCACCGGGGCGGGGGTCTCCCCCCTGTCAAAGCCTGTCAGCGCCTGTCAGCTCGCCGGCCGCCACCACCTCTCGCGAGAGGAGCAGCGGCGGTGGGGGATGAGCGGGCCGTGACGGCTCCGCGAGCTGCGGGAATGCAAGACGCGGGCGCGGCCGGAGGAGCGGCCTGGTTCACATGGCGGGCTAAGGGACCTCCCGTGCCCCCTCTCGCCCCCGGCAGCTGCTTATAGCGCTCCGCTGGCGGGGTCGGTTCGCGGGTTGGAGGCTAGGCGGCAGTGGGGCTCCGACGCCCGGCCCGGCGGCCGCAGCTGTGATGGTGCTTCCGTTGCGCCCGGCGGCCCGTCTCCTGCTCACAGCCCTGCAAAACCCCCCAGCCCCGCTTTCAGTCGCCTCATCTTGGATCTTTGCCGTACGCAACCTAGCTGCTCCTTAGCGTTGTCCGGGTGTAAAGCGTCCGGATGTACGGCTTGGGTGAGTTAAGTGCAAAGATGAGGTGTGCCTGCGGGTAACCCAGGACCAGAAAATGCCGGGGAAGCACAGGAAAGTTTGCCCACGGATACCTTGAGGGAGGAATAAACGAGGAGAGTAAAAGCAGGCCGTCTTTGGGAGCTGTTTTCAGTTTCAGCCACCACATCTCTTCCTAGTGTTATGTAAAAGTCATTTTCTCCTCACATCATAGATTTAATGTCAGTAATAAGTATTTTTCTGTGTCTTGTGTTGCCGTAGTCCCTTAAATTGTAAGCTTTCTCCAAAAGTACACATGGTTTTAGTTACTTAATTTTAAAAGTGCAGTTGTTGGGCATCGTCTTCCCCTTTCCCCCACCACTCCCCCTGTCTTAGTGGAGCATAAGCATCTGGATAATCCATTAAAGCATAGGAGGTTAGCTCTGAGGCTGTGAAAAAGAAACCTTGGATGTAAGAAAAGTCTTCTCCTTCCACAGTAAGGAATTAGAAAGGATCCACCAATAATTTTGCATCATGTATTTTATTATCACTGTGCTTGAAGGTCACAAAACAAAAAAGAGGGTTGGGCAAGAGTTACCAAAACAGTTTTACCTTGTTCAATTGCTAAAACTCATCAAGCAAACGTTCACTTAAGTTAATCCTCTCAAGCAGTGCCACTTATTTATTTCAAAAACATCTTGGCTGGTACTTCATGGTTCCAGGTTTGTGTCTAGCAAATTCCTGAGTGCCAACACCCATTTTCTAGCTCACCACGTCTCTACTGTCTTATTTAAATTAACAAGAAACTTGGTGACATAACCAAACAGAAAAGGACTGGAGTTATAAAACAAATCTTGCTTTTTCTTTACAGTTGCTTAGAGGAAGAAGTATTTCAATTTTAGGGATGTGTTTATGTGAAAGGGCTGAGGGCACCAGTAGGCTGAAAACATGAGCACACTGATCCTTTCCTGTTCAAGCACTGTTTTAGAAAAAGAACAAAAAATAATATGCTTCAGAGTTGTTTGAGAAATTCCTTGATGGACTCCCAGACTGACAGTAACAGATTAAAAAAGGCTGGATTTGCTAAATTTTCAGAGTGTAAAGAATAAACAAAAATCTGTGAATGAACTGGAAAATAAAAGATTAAAGCACGGTGAAGTACTTTTGTCAGGGAGCAAGGACTTGAAAAACAGTGGATGATAAAGAGGACAAATCAGAATAAAGAATGTACAAAGAAAGTTCTCCACTGTATGTTTTGCACAGGCAGACATAAGCACCTGCATAGACTGTCAGATAAGGTGGAAGCAATTTAGATTTGGAAAATTATAATTTCTGTCAGTTTCCTGTATTAAATAAGCAGGGAAAGAGCAGGGAAGCAGCTTGTGAAATCCCATATTCATGATATAGTTGGTGGTGATGGGATTGTATTATGATGTTTAGCTATTTTAAATGAAGTGTCATTCTATGTGTATGGCTAAGATAGTCATTGGCCACGTGTGCGAGGCTCACAGTCTGCCTGATGTCAGTCCCTCTTTCACCTTTATTTTTATTATTGCAACACAATGCTAAAACGTTTAATCCATCCCACAATTCTGTGTTGCCAGAAGCCACGATCAGGTTGGCCTCACTCATGCTGAAGGAGAGCCAGAGCAGCAGTCTGAGTGAAGCGGGTGACGGATGGAGCCCTTGCACTTCTGGCATCAAGAAGAGGTTCCTTCTTAGAAGAAGGAAGAGGGAACTGTGTGAGAAGAGTATGCTAATGGGAAGAAAATGTGGCACAGAACAGTCCCAAGAGGGAAGAGTACATCATCATAGTTGAAATACAGTAGGGGCACATGATTCTGTGAGGGAGAACCTTATCGAAATGAAAGAAAAAAACCAGGGTGTACCGTTAATAGCAAATAAATTTTGTGGTGTGCATCCATCAAATGTGATATAATGCTAAATACTGTCTTTGAAGAAAGCAAAGAATTGAGGATGCTACCACAGTCCTCATGAAAAACAAGGAAATAGGGGACCCAACAATAAGAAGACGGATGAGGAAAATGCTGTCCTCTCAAAACCGAAAGGACCAAGGAAGTTCAGAAATACTAGTATATGGGAAACTGGCAAGAGTCAGAGGAAAATGGGCCAGACCTTCTTAAAGGTCCTGGGACTTCACATGACCTGTGAGAAGGGTGAGAGAATCTGTAACTTTAAAGGAGAATAAACAGAACACATGCTCCAAATATGGCCAAATAAAATGCCATTAATACTAAAAAATACACTTTGAAGGAAAAAAAGAGAAATTAATATTCACTTTAAACTCAAATTATTTATTGCATACCAGTGGTTAAAACATTAACACAGTAGAGTCTGGGTGTCATTGGTGAACAAAACAAAAGTGTAATACATTAAATAAAAGTAAGCAATAAATTAATTCTACCTAAGATTATTTACCACAGAACCTTTAACTTTTTTCTTCTTTACAAAGTGTGGAGTGAGTAGCTGTGGAAGGTTTCACTGTCTGTTAGAGATGCAAAAGCACTGCTGAAAATCCAAAATTTGGTTTTGGTAGTTAAAAAGCATGGGAACATTGAATTAATACTTATACATGTATAATAAATACATTACTGGAGAAAATACCAGATGCAGTTGGCTTAGTGCCTTGCTGAGGTACCTTTCATCATCAAACACCCTTTTGGCACTGGAGGGTGTCAGAAAGGTCTATGAGAATGGCTGTCAGAGTTGGCAAAAGGAATTTAATGCCCAGATGAACCTCCACATAAAAAAATCAGAACAGAGCAACTGTGCTGTGTTAGATGAAGAATTTGTTTAGTTCTGTAACCAGCCTGCAGCAGTGGCCACCAAGGAAAGACTGCCTAAGAAGAGGGCAGGCACAGGTCTTTCAGGTACTTTCCTAGACTCCAACATTTTGCAGCTAGGGCATAGCTAAGCAAGCCAGGGGGTCTTTCTGTTCCATCAACTTGTCTGTTTTCCCCCTGACATTATACAGCTTCCCAGTGGTGTGTGGCAGGGACTTTCACATGTAAACATGGTGTAAGTAACTGCTTCCTTTTTCTACTTTCAATTTGGCATTTGCCAGCTTCACCTGGTACTCCATAGTGCTCATATGATACCCAATGTGAAATACTGAAAAATGCAGCCTTTTATGGAATTATGACTGTTATGGCCATTTAGACTGCTTCCTTCTCCTGCTTGCCTCTTTTCCAAGTAGAGCTCCTAAGTCCTTGCTCCTGTGGACACTGTTCCACACATTCTTGCTTCTCTCTGGTTCTGAACAACTTAGTCTATTCTCTTTCCTCTGTTTAAATTGAGTATTTATCAAAACATGGACCTTCTTGTTTCATTGATCCTTAGTTTTCTTAAAAACCTGTGATCTTGTCAAAAGTTTGTCAGAAAATCATGCTAAGTCGTGTTTACTTGCCTGTGAACACCCATCAGAAAACTCAGGTATACTCCCAGTCTGCAAGAGCTGTGCTGACACTCTGCAAACCATATTTGCCCACGCGTCCTCAGATTCTACCCTTTATTATAGTTTCTCATGATTTGTTTGATGATAGGTGCCAGACTTAGAAGCTTGTAAATCCACAGATCTCCCCTCAAATAATAAAATATAAACATGTACTTTCCAAAGTTCCAAAAGCTGGTTTTAAGATGCTGTGTGTCAGTTAGTAATTCAGCAGTTTTGCCCTTGCATTCCTCTAGACCTTATTGCAGAGTGCCCTTCGGACTGGTTGCATTGTTCAGGCAGATCCCTCCTATTCATGCATCTACCTCTTCCACAGTGCAGGCAGATAACAAGAACTTACTTTGTCTTCTTGATAGGGACTTATCTTCTCTGAGTGTTCTTTTTATATCGTCATCATCCATTGGCCTTAGACTCTTGATAGACCTGCTGTTCCAAATACATGTAAGGGACGGTTTCTTACTTTTTTTTTTTTTTCTTCTGCATATGCTGTTTGGGCAGTCATCTCATGCTTATCATGTTTTGGTTTGGGTTTAATATACTTGGACACAACTTCAACTTTTCAGAGCATTCTTCTAGTAACTTGCCTTGTATCTGATGTTCAGTTATGTCAGCATTTTTTCAACCTTTCTCAAGTCATGCTTGATTGGTTTTTTAAATTTGCTTTGCCTCTCAAAAATGATTTTTCAGCAATCAAAACTCTTAAGAACCTTGCTTGTTTTGGTCTTCTCTCCAGCTTTGTCTTTGACCAGCCTCCTCATTCTGTTTTTTGTTTGGTTTTGTTTTTTTTTTTTTCTGCTGAGCATAGTCTGAGAGATTTGGGAGTTTTGCATACTTTTTTGTTTCTGCAGGTCAAGCTATAGTCATTGTTGCAATGCAGTTCTTTGGTGCTAAGATTTTTTAATAGGTCATGTGTATGCACTGCTTTAAACATAATGAAGGTTATTTCCTCTCTTGTATATCACCTACTTAGTTGCTCCTCGAAACAGTCTTTGTTAGCATCTAAAAATGTTATTTCTTCATCATGATCCAGTGTCGGATTTTTTAAGTCAGTACACAGCCTGATTCTTCTTCTTTTTTTTCCTTTGGTATATTTTTTCCATCCTTCTTTTTTCTTTCCTGTTCCACAACAAACACAGTTAATATTTGTATTCTACTACTGTACTGTTTATTGTGTCTTTTATAATTAAGGTTCATCCAAATGAGTGTTTAAGTAGTACTGTCTTTTCCCAGAAATCTGAATGAAGTCCTAACAAACACTGTGTAGTCGTGTGTTAACTTACCTTTATTTGTATTATACTAATCCTAGCTTACAAGAAGAAAAGGTAATTGCAGCAACACTTCTGAAAGGCTGCCAGATAAATCCTGTGATTAAGATACTCAAAAATTAAACCCATTTGCTGGCAGCCAGATGTGGTGGTGGACCAGTCTGTTTCAAGGACCTTTCTTCTTCCAGCCATGCTTTTGATGTGTCTGTGTGTGTCCTTAATATCCCACTGCCCTAACACAACACTGCCTTGTTTTGATTGACCTGGTGGTAACGAGTACCTACCTCCATTGATGGCTCGAATTCTGATAATTGGGTATTTCTAACCTTTTGTGTTTGAAAACTGGCATGTAATATAGGTTTTGGATAACTTCTTCAAAGGACTTCAATACTTAATACTCTGTTAGCTATTTATTTTACGTAGGAGTGAGGCGGAGGATATATCTCATGTCCATACAGGAATGGAAGTTTTTGCAAGATGCTGTACTTTTTTGGTAGCTGAAAAAACGATGTTCAGCATCTACTTGAGTTCCTGAGTTTCCATGTTTAGTTTTAGGCTGCTGGTTTATCTTTAAAGTCCTGGTTTTCTTAGTATCCAAGAGACTGCCTTTTATCATGTGCCCATATCAGTCCAGTCAAGACCAGTGAAGCCCCGCAGGCTCTAGAAACCATTGCCAAGGTCTACATGTGAAAAAGTGAGATTAAAAGTGAAGACCAGATAATTATGGACTTTAATTATCACATATCATCCAGAGCACTTAATATCTGACTCATACATTTTTTTTTTGTCCAGCATTTGCAAGTTGCAGTGTTTATGTGCTAGAAGAAATTATTCAAAGGGGAAATGGGACTTATCTTAAACTGCTATGGTTATAGACAGTTACATGAAGAATAACTTGAGAAATAGATAAATTTATTGCAGCAACTCTGAAATTGTAAATAAGCAGGCAAACAAGCAGGCTTTTTATGCAGTACAGTGCAACTTCAAGGCAAAATTATATTCTTCACGGTTTATCTTTTTTTGTTCTAGTTTCAGTCATTTTTACGGGTCTCAGTCTCTAAGGAATTTTACAGTAGACAAAGTTGCAGAGTAGCACTGAGGTGCTGCTGAAATATGGACAGCCTGAATGCTCTGTAACTGTTCAGAGCAGACCATGGAGTACTGATTCTGATTCCAAGCCTTGCATGCAGATTGCAGCCAAGTAGCTCTGGACAGAGCTCATATAATCTCCCTCACCAGAGATCCTCCTATTTAATTTCTTCATGAGCTAGTGACCTGTTCTGTTACCTTCTTCCTGACATTCCTGCATAAACTGAGTCCATTTGGGATGATTCAGTTCTTTCTTCAGTTCATTTCTTTGCTGTCTAGAATTACGTGCGGGAAGTTGTCTCAAACATACAGAGAACATTCTCCATGTAGAGACATGAGACATCCAGAATACAGAGGTGAGGAACTGCTTTACCCTTCAGGAGTGTATCTAAGTGATAGCGATTTATCTCATTTTTCCTTTTCAAAGTGGTTGGTTGGTTACTTAATTTGGGGGGGGGGGGGGAAGGAGGCCAAAATAACTTCCACATCTTTGTATCCCATTCATTGGTTTCTGAACTTTATGCCCTTTGGAGCAGACATCCACTATGTAAAATAGCCTAGGGAAGTGAGTGGGTTGGCGCACAGCCTACAAGTGCCCACAGACAAGATGTCTATATTTGCAGAAGCTCAAGCCAGCAAACCACATTCTACTCATAGAATTAATTTTCAATCCTTTTCTTTTAATTTTCCTGTCATTATGACAGTCCATTAAATTTTTTTAGTTTTTTTCCTTTCATGTTCCATAAGCCCTCTGTCAAAATTGAGTGGAAGTTAGCAATCATTTTTGCTGCAGTCATCCTTTTGGGGTGTTTCTTTCCTTTCCTACTTCATTCAGCATTTGGAAAACTCTTAGGTTTGTTTTGCCTAATTATATTATTTTATATTTTGGGTTTTTTTCCATGAGTTTTTACCATAGGAAAACATCTAACATTTCCAAGAAATTTCCCAGCACTGTTTGTACTGTTTAGCAACTGGTTGGTGAAGTGACAGAAGTTAAAAAAAGTGCAGGAAACAAAAGTGTAGGAAACAAAGTATGTGAGTAGATGTCTCTTGGAGGACCCAAGAGCCTGGGAGAGGCAAGGCTGCTCAGCTGCACATTGCCAGATCCAGCCAGCAGTGAGGCTGAAGATGTATTCCCATTAGGCAAACACACACAGAGCGCACGTATGCACCACATCAGTACCAGTATGCATGTGTGGGCACACAGATCAGACAGACACCCAGAGCACTCACACAGGCACAGGCAGCATGGAGGGCCTGAGCCCCCTCCCTTCTCTGGCGGGGCAGGATGGCAATCCACAAGTGACTCCATGCACACATGAGTGAATGCTGTGGGTCCTTCTGGCAGCTGGCTCAGACCCTCTACCAGACCAACAGCTGCCTCTTAATCTGAGACTTCCCACTTTCTGGCACCAGGACATACAGCCGCTGAGCCTGCTGATGGGGCAGACCATGGTGCACATGCACACACACATGCATGCACAGACACACACACACACGTGCACAGAGATGCACATGCACACAGAGCAGGCTGGGACTCCCTTGTCTCCATAGCTAAACCCCTTGTGTTCATCCTTAGGCACCCCCACTGGC